CCCCAAAACCCCAAAACCCCAAAACCCCAAAACCCCTACAGTGCATTTGCTGATTGAACCTGGCTAATAACATCTATCTGAAAACCTTCCTTGAAAGACTACCATAAAGTATGGGGGTCATGAAATTTTTGGCGAAAAGGAGCTTTAAGGGTCCTACTAGGCCTCAACAAGATTTATAAATCGATAAGTTATTTTATATGAATTAGTAATAACTTTTCCTACCACGAAGGGAACCTTGTGGTTAAGGAAATATGGCCACATACGTAATAGCCATATTTTAAGCCAATTTCATAATATATGTAGTAATAAAGTGTCTAGCTAAGTTTGACACTCTTCTCCTCATCTTTCTGAAATTCATAATTGACTTCAAATGGGGATAGGGCTTCACCTGGAATAACTCATTTTGAGCTCTCAGGAAAATTATAGGTATTCATGCCATTAATGCAGTCATGGATATTTTTACCACTGAAGCTTTGTACTTTTTTAAATTTCTTAGCAGCGGGTCTAGCGCGTTTCTTGCATTTCCTCAGCTTTTTCTTAGGCTCCTTGATGCTTTTCTGTGACATACTCAAAGTTCTCGTTCATTGAAGGAGAGAGTCAAGCAAGTCTTCTTCAGTAGAATCGTCATCCGAGTCTGACATATCGTAGAGGTGAGCATAAGAATCTGTGTCAGTGCTGACAATATCACTAATTTTGAATTTGTTCCTGATGAAATTTCTACAATCTTTTTCAAGTGAGATATCTTCCATTATTTTCATTAGTTGGAGGAACTCTCAGTCGTTCTTATCCTCTTTAAAGGGAAGAATAGGAATACCGTTATCAATTTGGGAGGCAAATGAGATAACTGAGTTGTCAACGATGACCATATCTTTCAGTTTTCTTTCCTCCAAAATTCTCAAGTCCTTAATATAGAAGGTAGCTCCTTCTCAATCTACCGCAATTCAGCTATCACGATAAAGACGATGCTGGATTAAGTTTTTGTGGGGGTCTAGGATATCCAGGATGCTGTCTGCATAATTCTTAGTCCCAGCTGTGAAGACGATGACTTCCTCAAAATATTTATTTGCTTCTTCGAGACATTCAACAGCGTACGGCCTGATGTTAATTCCAAGCTATAATATAGTTGAATATTTAAGAACAAAAACTTGTTGACTCTTACCTTATAAGAACCTGTGAGATCTTCTGTAGGGACAGTGACATAAAAGTCTGCTTCCCTATTGGAATCTTGAGATCCAACCTTATGAATCAGGGTCTCGTCCATATCAAAGATGATAGTCTTCCATTTATGTCGGAGATCAACACTTACGCTTTTCTTGGATTGTTGTTTTCCAAGATTTGTCTTTTTAGGCAACGTAATTTTCTTCCTTTCAAGTTGCTCATGATCAACCTTTGGTAAACATTTGATAACATGGGAGGACTGCATGACATTGCAAGTAAGCTCTTTAAAAAGAAGAGCTTTGGAGTCATCCATCACCGTAGTAGTAATGAAAGGCGACTCTTCCTTCATCATTAGAGACATTGAGCAATTGTCTATAATGTCTTGTTTAAAAGACTGAGTTCTCTTCCTCTTCTCATGTGTAGCTAGTAAATCTACTATAAAAAGACGATTAGCAACAATCAGCATAATTTAGCATCAGCTAGGGCCAATACTTACAGTTATCGCTTTCTGGGAAAGGCTTTGGATTGGTAAAGAGAGAAAGTCTTTGCATTAATATATATAAACTCTTAAATTTTTTAGCAATAAAGGGGTTTTGGGGTTTTGGGGTTTTGGGGTTTTGGGG